CAAACATCATCGTAGTACGACGTTTGTATAGGCAGTTGTCACTAGTTTCCAGGCCTTCATTATAGTACGATTCCGTTAGCACGCGAAGGGAACCAGTGCACCATGCTGTATGCGCTGCATTCCTGTCAGCTGGCAGTCGACAGAACCCGTCATCGTGTGCATTTTGATCACACATTCCACATGCATCAGAAAAACAGGATTTTTGTCAAGGTATTGCATGTCAAGATGAAATAATGGCGTATGTAACGATTATATTGTGCATTTTAATGGCGTGAATAATAATTATATTGTGCGTATCAGGAGCTGAAAAATGTGATGGGCATTTTTGTCGCGCCGATTCGCAGTACGCACGTTTGTACATGGGGAGAACCCTGCCGTCCGTCGGCCAGGCGCACGAGTTCACCCCGATGCGTTTGTGCAAAATAATCGTACTTCATGTTGTTTGAGAATTCAAGTTTTGAGATCGTCGCGATTTTCGCACGTTTAACACAGGTATGTTTGTGTCAAATCATGGTCAGTTTCAACTGTGGAAAATGGTCTATGTTCGTGGCAAATACTTAAAAGTACTTGACATTTTTGAAATTTGTTAATTAAAAATGATCAATATCAACCTTCAAAATGGCAATAAAAAGTTTGAGGTCGGCAATTTGGCCGAAAAAATTCCAGGTCGGTCGGGTTAAGCCCCAAAAAAAGTCTCCGGTTTCTGGTATGGAGCTTGCCGAAAAAGTGCTTGCTTCAAATGTCGGCTGATGACTGCAAATGGGCCCGACTAAACTTAGTGCAAATATATGGGAGTCCAGAGAGGCCACATAAAGCTTATTGTCATCATAACCCCATCTAAAAACACGTTAAAATTGTGCAGCAGCAGGATTCCAGTCAAACCAGTGAGTTTGGCGGTTTTGAGACATCATCTTTCATTGAAAAAAAACTTTTCATTTTGCCGACGCGCGTGGCTACATCGACGCGCGCGCATACCAGAAACCGGAGACTTTTTTTTTTTGGCCGTACCGTAAACACACCATTTGTTTTGTTTGGCCTTAGGCATTTTCAATTAGGTGTGTCCAGTGCGCCACTTGACCACTACGCGGTTGAGCAAAGCATAGCATCTTTTGCAGTTCATCATTCTGGCGGCAGGTGCTTTTAGCAGAATGATGCTATACTACTTGTGCGCGTCAGCTAGAGGATCTTTGCATTACTGAACTTGAAAGCCCAGTCTCAGTCAGCATCGTCAATGTCGTCATTCCGTTGGGTGTAGCTGCCTTTAATCATTGTTTTGAGGAATCAAGTCCATATTGAGTCGATTCGGGAATTTTCTTTTAGCTGTCAGTAGGTGCGCCTGCATTGCATATGTTTGCCTGGCTGGCACCATCAACTCGAGAATTCTGACTCGGTTAAAGAGTAGGACTTCCTCGTCCACAAATATGTGTTTAGACAGGACCAGCTTTCCCAGGTGCTCCCAATATTTTTGTTCTATTGTGTCAATTTTGAGGTCGCTGTTTGTGGCCCAAGTTATTTGAACGACTTTTTTATCCTTCAGCATTGTTAAAGACACTTTGTTCAATTCCACAGTGGCAAACCCAAAGCACATCATTTCAGTTTTATCGCGTGCAATAAACACCCAAAAGCACATGAACGTGGCCTTCAATGTGCTGACAAATTTTTGTAGGCAATCTTTGGATGTGCAGAAGATTACCAGCTAATCTTTGTAGAGGATTACGTACACCTTCATGGCGCCGTCTGGGGATGCGTGCATCTGCATAGCGAGGTGCTTTACTCCTGTCGGATCCTATACTTAATTTTGATGCCAAGGTCATCTTCATTCTGTAGCTCTCCTATTACAGGCCTTTTGGTGGGCACAGGTTGGCATTTTAGGTTTGGTTAGTCACATGTCACGCTTTTATCCTGAAGAGCTCTTCGGTTTTGCAATTTTCTGCTGCCGTAGCTAGTAGTTCTACATGTTTCTTGTCCAACTGCGTTTTAAGCTCAGCCCTGAGCTTACGCAGTCGCACTGCAACTGTCTGCCTTTTAACCTGATTTCTCATAGTATGTCATACTAATGAATTCGTCTACATCTTTTGGTCTTGAATTTGGTAATTTTTGGGGCAAGGCCACTTTGGCCTTGTTCCATAATTAATCCATTATTCCGTACCTATCTAGACAATTGTTGCACAAATAATAATATTATTACATGTAGTTCCATTCATTTTGGCATAGGCATAGGCATCCAAATGCATCCGCAGACAATATCAAACAAAATTAGATATGAAATCAAATTTCAAAACCTTTGAAAATGTCAACATTTTACCAAATTGCACACTAGCATGAATTAGAGAAAAATAAGTTCCTTTACAAAGATTCAAAATCATGTTGTTATGAGACTGGAAGCTATTATTTTTCTTTCTAAAGAGATTAGCTGGATTACAGGCAGCTCTTGCAGCAGCTGAAGCAGAGAAACATCAGCTGAAAGCTACTTTACAAGCTGAGCATAACAGTAAACAAGCTGAAGAGAATGAAACACTAAAAGCGGCTAAAGAGGCTGACAGATTGAACACTGCCCTCAGAAGACAGAAACAACAAGCACAGGTGAGCACAAACGTTTGGATGATATCAGGCCGTAGTAAAATTGGAGGATTCCTCCAATTTTGATACGATTTTGCCACCCCCTTAGGGAGTTAAGTTTGGGACTCTCATACACAGTATTGAGAGTTCAATTTTTTTGGAAAAGTTGAAAAGTGCTAAAAACAGTATTTTGAGAAAAATGTTATTCACCTTCCTTAATACCCTCCAAACCTTTAATTGACCTCTGCCTTAACTCCTGTCTGATTTTTCCAGAATGCCTCAGATTGTGACAAAGTAAGGGAGCTTCTAGAATAGATTGCCACATTTTGACCGATCCGGTCGCTGCGGTTTTTCGGGTTGCTAACAACCGTACAAAATGCGTTTTTACCGCAGCGAAATCACTCATTTATTTCAGTCTAATGTCTGCAGAATTTTATGCAGATTCCGGATTTGCAACGTTTTCTGTTCCGTAATATCGCCTGAAAACTTCTGGGATAAATATAGGACCTAATTTACGATAATGGATGGACTGGTGACACAAGTCTAATGCAGTGCGGTCAAGAACCTGAAAGACATCAATGCAGTGTGCAGAGTGGAGTACTTGAGGACCAGACTAAGAATAATTTTCAGTGGGCTTGCACCATTTGGTTACAGACCAGTAAATAAACTTCCATAGACCCCAATGGTAAATGCTCCCAAGTCAAAAATTCGGGAAAAATACTCACAACTATCCAAGGTGTTCGAGACGCACATCAAATCCAAGCTTATTTCATCAGCTTTCATTATCTTTTCAATTTTCGGGGGGTCAACTAATAACTTTGAGGAGAAATTTCCATCCGAAGATGATCACCCCTGAAAATAGTCCTGAAGCCCATCGCCATTTTGAAAAACGATGCCTACACTCCATTGCAAAATAGAGCACTTTAAGTGCCCCAATTTCATCCAAATTGAACGAAACTACAAGCTCACAGTCCTGTGCACGGCTTCCACCCATATTTTTGCAACCATTTGCACCTCGTGTTTGTATATTGCGTGTGGATGTGTGTGTATTTTGCATGTACTGTGCAGTGATGATCGTGAGCTAGCAATTAGCAAACACATGTCAATATTGCCGTGATGAGACCCATCAGCAAAGCAAGATTTTCTCAAGGAATTTAAGAGTATGGTTGGAAGAACTGGTAATAAGGTGTCACTGTGGATGGAAATCAGTTTGAGCTGCAGTAGTGCTTTGAAAAATAGCCACCACCAACACAAAATTTCAAAAATGTTTTGGAAGCCTGGGAGTTTAAAGTAAGATTAGTAAAAATTAGTAACTTTTAAGCACCGTTCATATTTTTTCTGTGAATCGTTTCTTTCTCTCTGCAAACATGCGAAAGTAATAACATCACACACCGACAAAGACATTATTGAATCAATCACGTATGGATTATATTATTAAATGACCAGACATTTTTTCCTCATTTTCCCCCCATTTGTTTTCTTTACTGAAGCGACAAAATTTGCAAACATTTCAGAAATACAGTTCTTAAAATGTACATGCCATATATACGGACATACGTGCATGTACATGTATACATGTACATCTATACAAGTAAATGTACAATTATACATGTACATGTACAATAATACATGTACATGTATACATGTCAACCGAAGTTCGTGGATTTTTCATTTTTGTCCAATCACACCCCTGACTGTGTCCCTCTTCAACTGGTTGACGAACCATAGTCATCTGCCCCTTCTCCTAGCTCCGACAGGTTCCCACAGTACTAGCGGCAGGCCTTGAATTTGGGAATTTTTAGGGCAAGGCCACTTTGGCCTTGAATGGAGCAAAATTATAGAGGGCACCAAGGCCAGTTGGGAGGGCACCAAGGCCAAACTAATATCTGAAGGGGCACAGAGGCCGGCTAAAAAAAATGCGAATTTATATCGGCGATCATGTAGTTTAGGGTCCCCCTTTAGTTTCGATCAAATTTGAGCCAAAGGTGTTTTTATCATTCAAAAACCTTTTCAACCAAAAGCAGACTTCTCTCAGCTTATATTGCACCTGTTTTGTAATTTTGAACACTTTTTGGGGATAGAAATTACGTTTTTTGTAAGCAGTTTTATGGTTGGTGACGTGCGATCGCCATCTCTATTTTCGTGTTGCGTTTTTTCGTTGTCGTTTTCCCTCCAAATTCCCCTCAAAATTCGAAACCCTTCCCTCTATCTATATTAACCTACCTGCATGTTCTTAATGTGTATTAAAAGTTGATTTTGTTCTCTTAGGGAATCGGGCACATAATTAATACACGATAGCCATTTACAATGTCCGCTTTTGACAATCGGAATTCGGAACGCCATGTGCACGCGTGTTTTGACTTTGCCCGGGCCCAAGCTCGTTTGCCTCGTACACGAACATCAATGCGTTCTGTACCGCGCATGCAAGCACCGAGAAAAAGAAAGTCAGTTGACTGCACGTAAGATCTGCCGTACGTACTCCTGCTGGTATGTGTGTGTACGAATACAGATATATATTTTTGCGGCGGGGGTGTTGCTACTTGAAGTATCGGCACATACAGGAACTGGAGATTCAGTTGTCAGTGTACGTACGTACGTACGTGTGTGTACATGTACATCGTACAGTGGGGAATCGCCGGCGTTTGGCCGGCCGGCCACGGCCGTACTGCGCGTGTGTGATTGATTCAGCGAGATATTTAAGACAACTGATCGGGCTGGCATGGCATCGAAATACATTGTCAATGTGTGGAAAAACAACTGGAATCAAGGATTGTAGTGGTTTTAATAGGCTGATGGATGTTTTTGCAAAAAGGGCACGACGGCCAAGGTAATTATGGGGCAAGGCAAAACTGGCCGTGAAGACAGGGATTTTTTGTGGGGCACCTCGGCCAGTAAGAAGGCAACGACGGCACTGGCCGTCGTGGCCGTCGTTGAATTCAAGCCCTGTAGCGGGCTCGCAGCTATTTTGGATGATGCACACAGTGGCCTGCCAGCCTCATGCTCTGCTCCCTGACCTTAGCAGAAACTCTTTGCAGGATGTTGTACCGCTGGATGTGGCTGGATGTTGGGCACACGGTCTTCTGACGTTAAGTGCCATCCATAGCATTCATGTGTAGACGCCATCTAGCGCTCTCTCGTGCTTGGCTGTCATTGTCCACATCTCAGCTCCATACAGAAATACAGACTCAACTGTAGCCACAAACAGTCCCTTGATGTCGTCAATGAGACCAGCTCTCCATGCTCAACTCATACCATGAAGGGCCTTCCACGCTAAAGCTCTCGTCACTCTCATCTCGTTCTCAGTTGAACCTATGAGGGCGCCAAGGTATTTGAACTCCTCAACGACCTCTAGAGGAAGGCCATGTCGGGACTTGATGGTACCGTCCTCTGAGTTGAACGCATAAATTACTAGAGCGCTAACTTGTCATTCTGCGCGCGGAGACGCTTTGAAGCCGTCCTGGGCGCAGACATTTTGAATTCATGTGCATGTTTGCAGAACATAATGAAATTAGATGGATTGAATTTTGAAAGTGTATTCTACATGAAACGCACAAGTAGAACATACGCAAACAACTTAAGCGCGTCATTGACTGTTAAAAAAAAACGTGACGGCAAAAAGAATCTGCAGCGAATACGCGCACGCGTTGCGCTGTTTGCGTAGAGCAAAATGACACGCTCATTTGCTGATCGTGCGTTTTGGTTTTGGGCGTATTGGCTTGGATAACGCACCGGTATGGAATACAAACGCAGATATCCAAATAGCCGTACAAAAGCTGTACAAAATTTCTAGGTCTCCATAGGTTGTGCACAAACATGGATGCGCCCAGCAGGCATTACTTTGTACACAAAGTTAGTGCTCTAGTAATTTAATATAGCTCTATGGTTGAACGCCATCACCTTGGGCTTCTTCCAGTTAAGCTGTAGCCCCACTCGGTAGCACTGGAGCTCCACAGTTGCAAGCTATGCTTGTGCTTGGTCCGCCGTGTCGGAGAGGAGACTGATGTCATCAGCAAAGTCCAGATCAGTGATCACCACTGCCGGCACTGTCTGACTCCTATGCCCGAGCTTGAAGCCCAGCACTCCCTCCTTTCCCTCCACTCCCTCCTTTCCCTCCACTACCCATCTCAGCACATAGTCTAGCACGAGCTTCAACAAGAAGGGCGCCAATGTGTCCCCCTGCAGTACTCTGGCCTGGATCTCGAAGAGGTCTGTGGTACCATCTGGGATGACAATGTTTGCCCACGTCTTGCTGTAGTCTGCCAAGACTGCCATCACCAGCTTCTCTGGGACACTGTACACGCAAAAGATCTTGATGAGCTTGTCTGGGTGCACAGTGATGAATGCTTTTTGAAATCAATGAAGGTTATGACTCACAACAGGTTCTTCTCTTTGCCTCCTTCCAGTATTCACCGCAGGGCAAAGATCTGCCTGTGGATCGCTTCGGGTGAGAGCCATTTTGCGAGTCTCGCAGGAGTTGATCAAGCACAGGGCGTATGCAATGCAAGATCATACGGTTGTATGTCTTCACAACAAGCGATGACAGACTGATCCCCTGGTAGTTTCAGGCTTTGAGAGGTCTCCCGACTTTGGTACTCTTACGATGTTGAGAGTAACCCACTCCTCAGGTATTTCCCCTGACTTGTAGCCTTTGTTTATGAGAGCCAATACTGTGTTGTCTAGTGAGACATACTTGAGTAGCTCGAGTGTTACCCTGTCCTCACCACAGCTTTTCCCAGTCTTGATATACGACTTGGCCTTCTGGTATATTCCTCCAAGGTGAAGGGACCATCGGGTATGGGCAGGTTGCTAAGCACCTGGACAACTAGTGTGTCCTCATCTACCAAATCCAGCAGATTCCCTAGCAGCTTCTTAAAGTGTGCGTGCTGGAGCAGCACTCTCTCCTCAGCACTTCGGTCCTTAAGCTTGGCAGATTGGGAGCTACGACTGACAGAGATATCATTGGTCAGCTTCCAGCTAATTGAGTGCCGCTGGGTCGCATGCGCGTTCTCGACCTCTGCTTTCTT